ATTTATTTATCGTTTAACTTTAGATAGGTAGAATTATATGGTCACTTATGCCAAATATTATTTAAAACAAGACGAGTATCGTTTCTGCTATGATCAGCATGAATTAATTATAAAAGAAGCCACAGCAGGAACGAGCATTTAGTAATTAGGTATTTGGTCAGAAGTCATAAGAAGTCAGTCTCAGATAGTATACAGTCAATCTTAGTCAGTTTTAAGATATACGAGTCATAAGTCATAATTAAGGTTCGGTAACAACTAAAATGTATTGTTTGTATTGATTTGAAAATAAATTGTTTTAAACAGAAACTCTACAGAAAATATCCGAATATTCGAATACTCAAATACTCGAATACTCGAATAATCGAATACTCGAATACACCAACATTATCAAACTCACAAGGTGCAAATATCTTAATATGCACTTTGTATACAGTTATGAAATAAATTATTCATATTCTACAAGCATTTAAACAAATACTCATATATTTACAAGCAAATGAAAATAATCATATTTACTCTCCTGCAAATGAATGTAAAATTACGTTTCTGTGTTCTGGTGATACGCGTCATCAACTTTTGCGCGGTGTTACAATTAATGTGCCGACAAAGACCCTTTTTATCCATTGCGGCTAGTTGCCAAAAATGATATGAGATAACGATTTTTCTTCTTGGAAAACGGTGAACGGAAAACGAACACTCGAATATCTAACGAATACGAATAGAAATACTCGAATATTGGAATACTCGATTATTTGAATATTCGTTAGATATTCGAGTATTCGAATAAACCACTAAACGAATATTCGAATATCAGATTTAAAAAAATTCCGAGCCCTAATACGGACCACAACGTCAGGAGAAAATCTTGAACTGGCGAATTAGCGTTTACTCGAGGGGCATTCAATAAGAAAAAAAGATTTTCCTGAAGGGAAGCCAAGAACGCCTTTTGCTTCGACCTTTAATTTTGATAATGTTAGCAGTGGCGCAAACCGATGGTAGTCTCATCAGTAAGGCGGCGGTCCCACAGAACCACCGGTGATGACCGGTGACCATCAAGCAGATTTCCAACATATGAGATACCCATTGAACGGTCTCACAGAAAGCTTCACTAGTCATCCACTGCCATCCACTGGTAGTTTGGTAGAAGGCGGTGAATGCGCGCATCGATTTAGAAGAAGTGAGATTATAAACTAGTGGAAGTGGGTGAATAATTGCTGTGAGGCCGTTCGTTGCAGATTCTATAATTTTAGTCGGTGGTAGTGGGTGATACTTGATGACAGTGGTTGCTGTGGGACCGCTTCCTAAAAGGCCTAGGCCACGCCCCCTCCCTCTTATCGGTGCAAAGACCAGCCGCCAGTCACCAGCCAGAGCACGGGAGTACAAATCCGACCAGTCACGTAGTGTTGCATTTTTACGTTTCCAGCCTACTAGAAGCGCAGTCTGTGTGTGTGTCTCGTCACATTTTGCTAGGGAACAAACCCTCATAAATTATGGAAAGTCAAACCCTCATAAATTAAGAATATACAGGGTACCATGAGTACGGCGATCGTTTGCTCTAAGTTGTGTGAGGTTTCGCGTGAGGGCAAAGCCTTGCGCTCCGCTATGATAAAATATATCTATATAGTTGGCTACATAGGCTACCCCTGTAGCTTCGTGCAGTTTGGTTATTCTGGTGTATCTGTCAGCCGATAGGACACCTCTCAGGAACCTATTTTGGGTCCTTTTAACACGCCGTCTTATGGAATTACTGACTGAGTGCCAGATAGGGGAGCCGTAGGTCAGTGTGGGTCTTATATTGGAGGTGTAGAGCAGAAGTTTGTTTTGAGGTGATAGAAATGAATTTCGCGCCAGAAGAGAGTAGGTATAACTTTATTTGGGTCATAAAAGTCCTTTGTATAGCATAGTCAACGTGTCTATTGATATGAAGTCGGGCGTCTAGTTTCAATTGCAGGTATTTCACCTCTTGTACTGGTTTGATTGAAGTATTTTGGAACATCAGTAGCGACAGGGATTTACTGTTAGTGAATTTGCGCGAAACGATAATAAGTTCAGTTTTCCTGGGATTCACTCTAAGTTTTCATTTGTCGAAATACGGCGTGAATAAACTCAAGTGATGTGCAATGCGCGATTTTGCAACCTGAGCATAGAGAGACGATGTGAGAATGGCCGTATCATCTGCGTATAGTACTATTTTTATAGTGGGAAGTTTTGGAATCTGCTGTATACAATATATACAGCAACGGCGAAATCACTGTATCTTGTGCCGCGATGCGTCTTTTGACAGTTTGATGTTAAGGTTTTTTAAGAAAAAATCTGTAGTTGAGGCGAAAGTTTAAAGCCCGAGTGAAGATTAATTAATTGTCTTACTTTTTATCGATAAACCGCAATCAAAGGCATACCAGAAAGAACATGTCATGAAGAAACAGAAAACGCTAGATATTGAATACACTAAAATGTAACCTAACTGCATATAATATTTTTTCAATTATTACTTACTAGTTAATGCAATGAGCGGCTGACAGTACCCATTCAGGAGTTATTAAAGTACCAGCGCAAAAATACAATGTAATTTGAACGTATATGTATAATGCTACTTGGTATGGATAGTCGTGAGGAGTTGCGATCTCTCCACCGATAATTCTTTTTATTGGAGCTTCTACTTTAGTGGATGGAGTTAGCGCAGTTCGAACGGGAATTTCCTGAAATAATTTGTTATTGGTAGAAATACGTATAATATACAGGGTGATTCAAAATTGGCGTCATTCCCCTGGAGGTGTTGCCGGGCGGTGTTTTGGGAGTACAGGAAAATAGTTAACAAAATTACGATGTATTAAAAACTGAGAAACTTTCATAAAACTATATCAGAAGGATGGAAACAATGTTTTTCAAGGTAATCTGCCTAATTAACCTACGTAAAAATCTGGTAAAAAAACTCCGGTAACCATGGAAAAATAGAGAAAGTGTCGATAAAATAGATAAGGATAAACAAAAAAAAAAGTTGAGTGTAGGGATCTACTTTTTTCGAAAGGTCAAATTGACAACGAGAAATTGTTCTTTGCTGTCCTCATGACTTCGAATTGGTGTCTATGTTTATGCAATTAAACATACAGTTCTGCCTTTAACTCCAAACGAGTTAGTGCCTGTGTAATCACCTTATTGTGCAGCTTATCGTTTTCGGTTAATTAACTCCTGCTTAGTTTGTACCGGTGTTCAGTACACCACTGGTTTAATGTGTCATTGTGTTCTGTGTATCTTACTTACGTGGTAGGTTTGTCTGTCTAGGTAGCCCTTTTAGGGTTACCTAGACTTTTAGAAAGTATCGGTTGTTTTGCAATGCTTTTAAGTACTCTAGGAAGGCTCTGCTACAAAACATATCGTTATCTCCAAAACATATTCCTGTGTGTCTGAAACCCGAACATCTATTGTCGCTCACTATCTCCCTGGGTCCAATCTTCCAGTGTCTCCTGGAGCGTACTAAGGTACCTTTTTTAAGTTCTTCATCTTCTGCTATGTTGACTGTGGCCCATGACTAATCCATATACATTTCGTGTAAGTAGATTCAAAGTAAGTCACAGTTTGACAAATTATTGCTATTATTGACAAAGGCTATCTATCTGTTAGTAACTTATTAAGTTAAGTTAACTATCTGTTAATAACAAAAAGCATCATTGCCGCTTAGACGTCTCATCAAAAAATTGTAGAAAAAACTTTGAAGCAAAGACCGTAATTTTTCTTTACGAACGGTTAAGTATTTCAATAGGCTACCAATCAAAGATGAAACCATTTAAAAATAATGCTTAATAACACATAGTTTACATTCGATTTTCAACTGTTAATAACTTTGGAAAAACATTTTTCATTATTTTTCTCGGACTCTCCAAGTGCACCCCTGTTACACCGTAAAAGGAATGATGCCAATTTTGAATCACCCTGTATAAAAAATACAACTTAATTTAAATCATATGTTTTGCAAGCTTATAATTTACAATATACTATTCACTTTAGCTCATACCAACCTGATGCTCACTAATTGCTCCAATAAAGTCCTTTATATCCACTCTTTGGCCCAATACCAAGTAGCTCGATAATAGCAATAATATTAATATAGAAGTATACTTCATATTTGAACTTACTACACCTTAAAGCACCGAATACTGATTATTGTTCAATTTCTTTTATTAGATCTCCGTCTGCGGGTCTACGAGCTTACAGGTTTATGGGTTTATAGCGTTACATTAGTAGATTTGTTTTATTGCATTTATTAGGACTTAATTAGAAAACAATAGCATGTAGTGATCTTTTTAGGGCTAAAGGATAGGCGACCAAAAGATGTTTATAATGGAATTAATTTTTTTGGTTAAAATATCCGGTAATTCGAATAATCTATTGTCTGGTTGCTTGACTTAACAGTATCAATAGGAGTTCAAGTAGCTAATAATTAAACAACGGCAATTAATTTATGAGATCAATACTTGTCTGCCAGTTAACTAATCTTTGTAAATGTATCATAAGTACTTTCTACTCGGCAATTATTGTCTTACACTGTATTTAACGTTATGCAATATTAAAATATAACAGTTTAATCATCTTCAATTGGAGTGATTAACATACATAATGAAATATTACTATTAGTAACAATTTGCAAATATTCTGTATGTAAGTCGCATTATTAACATCTTTTCGACAGTATCTAATACCGATAATTTTCCAAATTCAGATTAATTATGTAGTGAGTGCGGTATTAAATCAATCCAATTATGGTGTTAAAATATTACTACACTGTTACAGAGTGGTCTCAACATGTGACAAAATTCACTGACCTTGTTTGCGCAAACATATTGCGTTTTAGGAAAATTTGCCTTATCCGAAAGTTACGTTTTCGAAGTAGAGGGTGTCAAAGTGTAAATATATTTTTTAAAATTTTACTCTGCCTGTGACCCACGCGATCAAAAAGAAAAAACGCTTTTGGAGACGAGAAAGTACTGTAACTAGACTGGCATGCTGGAACATGGTTCGTACATTATGGAGCGGAAGAGACCAAGGTGTATGCCATGAAATGAAGGAGCATAAATAAGACATGTGCGTTATGAGAGATGAAGAGAAAATGACAGGGCACACCTAAATACGCAGAATATATCGTGATACATAGCGGGAAAGCTAAGCACGACCGAGCGCAAGCAGGAATAGGGCTTCCACTTCAAGAGAAATACCAACTTCTTCTTCTTCTTAGCGTGCCTTATCCGTCGCGGACGTTGGCTATCAACATGGCAATTTTAATTTTATTGACGGCATTTCTAAATAGCTGTATAGATGTAAGTCCAAACCACTG